GGTTTTCGATGGCATCCTTTAAGGCCCGACACTCGTTGGTATTGTGCCTGATGTCCTGGTGGTATTGGTAATATTTTTGCCGATCTCTTCTGCCTGAAGCCCCTCTCATTCTTTCCGAAGCGGGCAATCTTTTCGCTTCACGAGAGACTTCGTATATGTGGGCTATGTCTTGCATGAGAGGGGAGTCTTCTGCGTATCACGGGAAAAGCTGCTTATCCCCGTCGTTATCCGTTCTCTATCTTTTTTGGGACATGTTTTGGTCCCTATCATTGCGATCTTGACTCGTCTGCTTATCTGATGGGCGATCTTATCGCCTATTCGGGGCTCTTCGCGGTGAGCTTCTGGCTAGGACTACTAGCGAGCTTTCTACTCGTTGGTGTTTTGTAGCCATTTGGTAAAACTTGGTCAAGCTCACATGATCTTTACTCTAGAGCTCTTTCCACAACTCCGTTTACGACTAATGCCCGCTATTAGCAAAGTCTAGATTGACTCTTCGGGTGCATCTGCAATCTTTGCTTGCTCATTATGGAACCTCGTTAAATATGAGGTTAGTGTTTCTTCCCTTTTCTGACGAATGTTGCTCAAGTAACTGGATGGCATTGCGAAATGTCTCATTGCTTAGAATTGTTGCAAGTACAGCGAGGAGAATTATTGCCAAGAACTGATGGAGTTCATCTTGAGTCTTTTGAACCACCTCTTGGCATCCCCTACCAATGTGATCGCGAAGCAGCAACATTTCACCAAGTCACAAACTTGGTGCAGCTCCATCAGGTCATTGAAAATGTCGAGGTGGTCTCTTGGATCTTCTTTCCTATCGAACTTACTTTCTGATGCCCTGAATCCTTGTGGAAGCAGGACCTGGCAAACTTCCTTTATGAAGGGAGAGCTTACTATTTCTTTCGTCGCATTGTTTTGGCGGGCTCTTAGGTCATTGAGCATTTTCTGCACACGATCTAAGTCTTTGTTGTGATTGCCCTGGCTGGCTCTGTTCAGCCTTACCTCGAGCAAGTGAGTTTGTAAATCTGTCGCTTATGAGCCCCCTCCATTATGCATATTAATGCGCGAAGTTAAGTCATGGTGGCTAGGTCGATAGGTGTTATCATGCTCATCAGTGCATTGCTCACGATGTTGGTTATAACTGGAACGTTGGTCATTGCCAGATTGGTGCACATGACTCATCTTGCGAGCTTCCGAGGATCGAGCATGTCTTGGGTGTGAGTTAAGACCGACATGTTGATGCTGGGGATATCACTAAGTAGGTCGAGCGTCTCGTGGGCGACCATTACCTTCACTTTCATCCATTGGTTGTTTCCCTAGCCGCCTCCCAAGGGTAGTTTGCCCGCCGGACTCACTCTCGTGAGCGGAGTGTACTTTGTGATATTAGGGGTGTCGGTCGCCCTTTGGCGTCGATGAGCTAGACTGGTCACAAGCTGAATTCTAACCTCTCGAGGTGATATCGGTGAAGCGTGGCTGGTCAAGGTTTTGTGCGATTGGTTGCTGATTTCTTAGCTCAGTCACGTTCTATTACACCGCATGTGCAACCATTGTTCTGATCATTTTCACCAATTGGCCATTTTCAAGGTTTGACATTCCTGCCCCCTGGTTATTTGCTGCCTGTTGAGTTGGCAACACTAGTGGTCGACGCCCAACGACATCCTGTTGCACTTCCTAATGGGTGGTGTCCACATTGTCATGGTTTCCGGTGATGGTTTTCAATCTTGTATGCACCATTGCGGGCCTAGACTAATTAAATCATTGTGGCTATTTGCCGGAATTTTTGAGATATTGGCGAAGGCCTTCCTTCTAGCGCCAAAATGTTGATACAGAAATCTGCACCAACTAAAGTGATCTGATCGACCTTAACAAGATCGGAACTGGTGTGTGGGTGATTACAAATAACTAGCAGTGAATGAATAATAAAATGCAATAAAGTAACTGGCAAGGAGATTTTTAAAGTGGTTTGGCGAGATGAACTCTTGAGCCTACGTCCACTGTTTTTGTATTTACCAATGATAATCCTAAAAATATTTTATAACCCCTTTCTCATCGTTAGAGGGGGTTTATATATAGAGTTTGTACAAAGGAAAGAGCGAAAATAAGGAGATTACAATTAAGTTTGAAATGCAACTTCGATATTCTCGTGATTGGGCGTTGTGATTGCACAAAGATTGTTGTTGATCTGATCCTTCCCGAGATATCCGGGATCTGAGGTTATCAGCGACTTGATTGAACAACTACAAAGATTGGTCGCGACTAGCTTGTGCTAGGTCAAGCTACAACTCGACGAGCTTATGCTGGGTCGTACAATCGGTAGAGTCGAGCTGGTTCTGGATCTAGCTATTACCCCGCAATTCTCCGAGCTTGATGAAAAAATCGCACACAACATAATCTAATTATGATATCTAAAATTATGTCCAACCTATCATTCAAAAGTAATTTTTAAAACTAAAATACAATTCTAAATTTTGAGTTGTAGTTTTTATATTTAATTTTTAAAAATGTATTTTATCAAATGCATTTACATAAGATTGTTTTTATCTCCTACTTTCTAAAACAAAAAACTTATAATTGAATTTTATATCGAACAGAGACCAAATGATTTGGGTTAGAGTGGTTCTATTGGGCTCCATCACTGGAGTAAGGAAGCTCCACCTTCTAATAATTCTTATAATTACAAATTTAAATACGTATTAAATTATTAAACTTATTTTTAATTGCTTATTTTTTCATATACTTTTTATACCAGTTTTTTATATTATTACATGCTCATTTAAAATCATACTATGAAAAAATTAAAATACTTTTTAGAAGTATAAAATAATTTAAACGGAAGAAGAAGTTTGTCAATAGGATATATAAAATTACAAGCAATATAAAATTATTTGTTTTCAATCGTTTTTCAATTTTTTTTTTTTATTCAAGTTGTATCTTTAATAAATAAAAACCAGTTGAAAAAAAAAAAGTAAAGATTTCATGTTAATTATGTTATATTATTATACAGTAGAATTGTTTGATATACATCTAGTAATGTTAATAATTCTTTTTGTTTTTATTTTTCTTACCTCATGTCAAATTCTTATTTTTTTATTGCTGAAGTGACATGTAAATTATTATTTTTTTCCCTTTCAAATTATTGGTAATGATTCTAATCTCAATAATTATTTGTATTGTTTAGATGTATTTTGTTTGTGGATTAATTATTTTTATTATTTTTTAGACCCAACTTCTACAAAAACCCCATTAAAATTTTAAACTTATCTAAATATTTAAATAAACCTCATATATTTCCAAAGTTTCACTTCTTATTGATATTTTAGCTATTTGTTTCATATTTTATCAAACCTTTTTTTTAAATAGAATTTGTAACAAACCACATTTTTTTTCCATGAAATTTTTAGATCAATTTTAAGACAACTACCGATCACTGAAAATTATTATAAGTAATTTGATTATAAAATGGAATATTGTTGATTTTTTTTTTTTTTTTTAGATATTGTTTTTCATTGACATTAATTTTGGAAAAGTTTAACATAAATATTAAAGTTGCAAAACAAGTTCGATGATGCAAGGGCCTACAGGATGGATAGTATCGACAATGTTAGAATGCTATGAAATTTGGCAGGGCACTCTGAAACGGACAAACAAGTTAGACTTGTTACGTAGAAGAGTTTTGTCATTTTTTAGCCTTTTGGAATCGTCTAGATGGGTTTTGGGAAGTTCTTCTTATTTTTAGAGGTGTTTTTGCAAGTTTCTAAAGTTTTGAGACTTTTAGAGTTTTTCTGATAATTGTTTAATTTTCCTTTTTTATTAAGAGAACCATTTAAAGATGAATAATGTTAGCCTTACTCACTTCTCTTACTCACATTTGTTAAAAATGTGAAAAAGTAAATAAGACTAACATTTTAACAAAAGTGAGTAAGAGAAGTAAGTAGAGAAAGTGAATAAGGTTAGCATTACTTTTTAAAGATTGATTCAACCGTAGCAGAGGTGGTTTTTTATTGTTATTATTGAGTGAATTATTAAAAACCTTGAGTGATTTTTTTCAGAATTCAAATCTTGATAAAAATTTGATGGTGATTTACCATATCAGTTGTTGATTTCCGAGTTTCAATCATCTGTTATTGTTTCAACATCATTGGGCATCTTTACATCATTGACAAAGATAATTACAATTTTTTCTTTGTTTTACCCATAAATAGTACAAAGAGGAGAGATTCTTTTTTAACTTTTCCACTTGGCACGTGGGTGACTGCCTTAATGTTTTTCAGAATTTCAGAGAGGTGAAATGCCTTATATAAAAATTTGACAACAATCTCTGGGGTAAATATTACTTATTATTCCAATTATTTATTATGTTATTGTAATTATTTGTTCTAGAAGACCATCTACACAAACATTAATCACAATTATAAATTTTTGTTAGTGATTGCTTCCTCTTATCCCTGCTCAACTTGAGAGTTATAATTGGAATCATAGTTAACAAACAATTTTTGTTTATTTCAACAAAATCAAAACAAGTATTTTTTGATCAAACCCTCAAGCCCAATCTTCATCAGCAACAGTCCTTTGACTAATTCAATATTGTTAGCTGAAGTCAACGTCATAGTAGTTATATTCTCTATTCTCTAAAGTCTTATTACTACGTGGAGTAACGCTACAGTTATAGCCACCGATAATAGTGCACCGAATAACGTAATAAAATCCTGACCATTAATTAATATTAAGTTAGAATTAATCAATGGTCAAGATTTTGTCACGTTATTCGGTGCACTACTATCGGTGGCTGTATTATTTTCCTTATTACGTGATGTGATCTCTATACAAAAACCCATCTCCCTCTCACTCTAACCTGTTAAATAATAATCAACATCTGAAATGTAATACCTCCTCTATGCCCTACTAAAAAATATTCCTATTCTATTTATACATTAATAATCATCAACCCTATTCTTTTCTCTCCTCATTTCTATCAATTCTTCTGTCAATAGATTCCCTATCAAACGCCCCTCTCCATCATATTCTTACCTACAATAAACCAAGATGACGAACAATACTCTACACTTATCATTCACCACAACATCGAGCAACATTTCCTTCCTGAAGTTTTTGCCACAAACACAGCATTTCCCGAGGACCTTGGTAATGAGCAACAATATAACCATCCTTGCACCCCTCATTGTACACCTTCTCTTCCTTCTCATACCTAACTTTTAACCCTTCTTTCTTCATCTCTGCAATCCATATGCCCATTGCTACATCTTCTAACTTAAACATCTGCAATATAAACCATTCATTTATTTATTATGACTACAATTGTTAATCTGCATGAAGCTAAGGATATGCAAAAGCAATAATAGAAGAATGCCACCATATATGTTTTTAATTTTGTCCAAAGATAAGCACATCTAATGGCAAAAGAAAAAATGATAATTGACCACCATACCTTTAAACGGCCTCTTTTGTATTTATTGTAGACTGCCTTTGCTATGTCACTAGACACAACATACCCAGGACCATGTGCCCAAGGGGGATAAGCATCTTCACGCCATTCCTATAATGCAAAGGGAACAATGTTAGAAGTTGTAAAAATAAAATCATCTTGGTATTAATATAATCGATTAAATTGTGGATGGAAATGTACTTAAATCTTATAGAAATCTTGCTATATAACTAAAATCAGGTTAATCTACCAATGCTTTCTGGGGCTTATCAGTAGCCCAAGCAATTAAGGTTGGCCAAAGGCACCTAATCATACAAACTCTAAATGAAAACAAGAAATATACCAAATAATTCACATTATCTCAAAAACCATATTGGATTAATGCAGACAGAACCCTAAGATACATACGCTTCCATTGTCTTCTAGTTTGATTGCTGAATGATTACAATGGAAAAGATCTAAAAGGCTTTCGTGTTAGCAACATCCAACAATCATTAGTTGAGCTGGCAGGGTTGAAATTGCTGAATTCAATTTGCTTTCTCAAGTGGATATATTCAAGAGAAGAGGATTACCTCGGGGCTGATATACCACTTGCTATCAGGATTCCTATGAGGTCGGGAATCTGCATTGATGAGTCCATAAAGCAACCCAGAATTCACATTGATTCTGCTCAAAGAAGCCATCACTTCATCCACACGGACAAATGCATCATCATCTGTCTTCATGACAAACTTTGCTGAAACAACCTGTGTCTGTTGAGGAAATGAGGTCAACAAGGAAAAGGTACAATCTTCCTGGTATGAGTAAGAGACAAGATTTTACCCCAAAGATGCAGATGGCTAAAGTTTTCCACGTGATGAGATTATAGTAGTCAACAAAAGGCATAAGCTGTATGTCTCCATATGTCCGTGCCTCTTTCCAGAGTTCCCCATTCACTATCTGATTTTTATGCTGCAATAAACCTCAAACTTGATAAGTAATTCAGTGATGGTACTGCTTATTATACTGCAAATATAGGAAGTTATGATTTTATACAGCAAATTAGGAAGTAATAATTAAGTAAAGATAAATAACACCCGAAATTTAATTTGAGATATTGAAGAATGACTAACTTTCACCACATAAAAATCATAATAAATGTTGACCTTAGCACTAAGATCTGTAAAATCACCTTATTAGTACTATAAGCACCATAAGGAACTTCTTGTATACAAATGGCGGGAACAACATTTGACCCATTAAAGGATTATCATTATAAATTGTGTAATTGCATGTCCCAAAATTGGGATTCTTTTTTATGTTTTCAATCAACACTCATAAGATATAACCACAAAACAATTGCACACCAAGATGAAAAAAGAAAAGAGACGCAAGAGAAGCTCACCAAACCGACAAAAAAGCGCACTGCAACTGCTCCTGAACGCACTGCAGGGTACTGCATCCATGTTCTTCTGACAGCCATTCTTCGCTTAAAATTGTTTGCTGTTGAGAAAACTCCAATGAAAAGATCAACTGCTTGATGATGAGAAAGAGGAGAAGATTTTAGTGCTTCTAAATCAATTGTATGCTCTGAATCTTCTGATGTGGGTAAACCACTGGCCAAGACAGAAATTAGTTTCAGGTCTCCAGAAATCCTCACTTCATTAACCAGCCATGGCTCCAAAGTCTGAATATATGATCAGCAAAGTGAACAAATAAGTTCATTGTAAGTATTTATATCTAAAAAATTATAAAAGTTGCAAGAGCAAGAGATGAGAGTAATTACTTCACGATAAGCAAATGACGTTATGTGCTTTCCATCAACTGTCATTTGTATTCCCTCTGACCCTACTCTAATTGTGGCAACAAAAGGATTCCCTTGCTTAAAAGGAAAATATGTTCTGGTTTTACATCCTTCCTGAGCCATTGAAGACCTCCTAGAACTGTTCCAATGATTGCTAGTCATAGAAAACCGCTTATCATCTTTGCCCACTAACTTATTGCACTGATCCAACTCATCAACTGCAACAAGAAGTAATAGAGTTACATCACAATATAACGGAACAAAAATTAACAATTTATTACTAGCTTTGTGGAAGTAAACAGATAAATGAAACTAGAGGCCTTTAGAAAATGATTTCATCTTCAAACATTCCACTACCAAAATTTTGATGATAAAGTACTGATTTAACAAAAGTTCAATTAAATTCTTAAAGATATGGAGGACCATAGGCAGCTAGCACACCATTACATTTTGTCACACAATGTAGCTTCTCATCTAGTTAAACGATGTCTTTCCTAACTACTGAAACTGCAGGCCCTGACATTGAGAAGAGAGTCTAAATTGAACCCTTTGAAGCTCAACAAAGTTCCAATATCTAATTGCTTTATATGGGAAGTATGCAACATGCACAAGCAGTATAGAGCAACTAAAACTTGATTAAACACAACTGAAGCTGAATAAACATTTATACTGCCTTTTTCACACCCAGTATATTAAAAATGCAAGAGTTACTTCCACCTTTTATAATTTTTTCAGGAGAAGGAGATGGGCAGCGCTCCTCTTCACCCCAATCATGAGCTAAAGTCCAGGTGTTTTGAACAATTACAGGATTCTCAGTTATCTTATCACCATGTAGCCTCACATTGTAATGCAGAATAATAGGTGGATCAGGCTCCCCTGGAAGTGCTTCTCCGGTTAAGTCAATCCGAAAATTACCAAGAAGACCATTCGGAACGCCTATAATTGTAATAGAAGAACCCTGAGTCAGTCCACAAGGAACCTGCAACTTGAAACCACTGTTGACTAGATCTGAGGCATTCATTTTATTTAAGAAATGCGGACATTGTTTCTCTTTTGCTCTCGTGGCTGAACTTTCATTGGCATAACCAATTTTTTCCTCTTCAACAGACACCATAAGGTTATTCCAGGCATTTCCAGCTTCCTTGATAGCTTCTACTCCATTTGGTAAAACCATAGAATGAGTAATTAAGTATTTCAAGAGATTCCATGTCTGCAAAGATTGCCGCTCTTCCTTGGATAAATTCCTTTGAGCATAGAGACTAGAGGCTATTGTATCAATTGGAATTACTTGAGAAGCACTGTCAGGATTTTGAACTGCGGGTGGAACTGCATGAACCGATTTCAGAGGATTACTTCCATTAGAGGCGACGGCACTTGTTACATAACTTTCCCCAATAGGATTTTTCAAGAAACCATATCTCAGCACCAACAACAAAAACAAGGATGCAATTAGAACACCACCGTACCATTTCTTCATTCTGTTCCTTAAACAATAGCAGCAAAAGTTTTGAGCCTACTTTCCATAGAGATTGAGTTTAAAATACCAACAAAGCTTAGAGGTGACTAAAACATGCATGAATTTCATAAAACTGAGTTCTATATGGAAATTCACGAAGAAGAGGTGCTAATGAAGAACCAAATAAATCTCAGCAAGATATAATCTAGGCATATGATTGAAATATAGAAGGATCATTTCAGTTCTTGGAAGAAAGCTTCGGATCTTATTTTTAGTCCATTGTTTTGCACAAAGATCTGCTTCTGGTTTGATCATGAAAGCTTCAACTACATAAATGGAATTTCACATAAGCTCTCCTCAAAGCATCTGGAATAAGACTGTCATGCTGGAACAAATTGCAAAAGCAATTAAACACAACTGAGAATGAAAGTTTTATATAAAATTCCACAATTCAAATGCTTTCAAGTATGAGTGGATAAAACCCATGCAGCCAAGAAAAAAAATTATCAAAAAGAGAAAAGGAACCAAAACCAAGTAGCATAAAACTCACAAAAAATATGAAATCAAAACCTGGTGGCTCTATACATGTTTAGTAACTTTCAGAAATCAGAACCCCAAACACCATAGTTCTTTAGAACAAGCTTAGAGGAACTCTGCTCATTCATGAATAATGAGATAAAAGTTTCATCAAAATTCAAATACATCACGTAATATCCCCCAATGGTCAACTGACAGGAAATTTTTTTGTTGACTAAATGAACATTAAACAAAGCCATATAAAATTCTAAAATGACCGCGTTTAGGAGAACCCATCCTAGTTGCACAGAAGATTTATCAGTATTTTTTACGTGACTACATCATCAAATCGATTAAAGTAGGGACCACTTTACCCTTGACGGCCAGACATCAAATGTTTAAAATAACATAACCAGATTCAAACTATATTAAAACACGATGCAAGAAATTTAGGCCTCAACTGGAGAACAGTCAAATAAATTGTGCTTCAAATTTAATTTGATTTCTTTCACTTGCGTTTACACAACCTAATCCGCTAGAAATTCTAGAAGCATTTTCGCAGAATGCATAGATTTAGCAATTTTTTTTTTCTACTTATTAGATTTCTGACAGAGAAAATGCAGTGAAGAAATAGAATTGTAATTTAAAATATTAATAATTATCGATTAAAAAAAAAAAAAAATTCTTGACTCATTCAACTCTAATATAACTACGAAGCTTAGTTCAAGAGAAGTTAGAAAAGTCTGAAAAAGCTAACACCACACACTACAGTAACATACAAAAGTTCTGTTAAGTTCATTCTCTTGAATTTTCCCGGGAAACAAACAGATCCAAACGCATTGCGCCGAATCCAAGCTAAACGGAAAAACAGCCATAAAAAGAGATGCAAAACATGTAAAATCAGCTCCAAATTTTAAAGTTTGATAAAGCAACAACACAAACAAGCAGAACTAACCGTTTCGAGAGCGAAGCAAAAACTCCTTATCTAATCTGTTCAGAGGAATTCGCGAGCAAGTGCAAGAAAAATCAATATTCAGCGTTCTATCTTGTAGACTTGAAGTCTACGCACGCATAGTCTTCTCTTTCAAAGTGGAATAAAACAATTGAGAAAAAACTTTTTGAAACCGTATTTGTATTTTCTTTTGTTGACTCTCCAATTACGAGAAGAAATTAATTAAAATAATTAAAGACTTGACTAGTTCTTTATTCTCAAACTTATAATTAATGTCGGTCTTATACAAACTTAGGCTTCAAGTTTGAATCAAAAACAGCCAATTAGAGAGAGCCACGCATCTTCAACTCCATTTTTTTCACTTCAAAGTTCGTTCGTGGCAAACTCTCATTTGGCGTAGAGAAAATGAAATGAAGAAGTTGTAAAATATATTTTAAGCAGTTTAATATTTTAAAAAGTAGTTTCATGAGACACGTGGACACGTGGTTCGTTTACTTCTCTCTTTCCTGTTCTTTTTCTTTTCCTTCTCTGGTTACTTTTTCTTTTATTTGCATAGAGTTATTCTATCTTCACATGCGTGTACGGACAGTATGGTCACAGTCAAGTCAATACCGACAATTATCGTTTCTAGCATTTGATAGACCAACGAGAAGCTACCTTGACACCTAAAATGCACGGTGATCAATTGAGATCTAGATTTACCATGCTGTCACGATAGCGTTACTTCCGTCTTTAATTTGTTTCTCATCGTGGCTTGACATTACTTACGCACAGGCGAAAGCCGGATAATGCGCGAAACGGTGAATAAAATGACAAAAATAAAAATAAAGGCATGTTTGGTTTATTATTCAACACTTTTTAGAATAATATTTTGAAAATAGTTAAATTGGATAAGTATTATGATATAAAATTTAGAAAATAATAAAAATACTTTATATGTTTATTTATTTATTAAACATCTATATAATAAAATATTAAAAATTAACAAAAACACTCTTAATCTACCCATTAAATACAGACAGTCGGCCATCACCATCAGAGGGTGACCGAAGTCACTGTATCAACGCATAACCAGCTAAATTTTGTCAATCTTATGCCGATATGGCCTTTTCCGACCAGATCCTAGTCATTGACGGCCAGATCCTAGCCATTGATCTGGCCGCATCTAGTCATCAACGACAACCGTAGATAAGATACGGCCGTCGTTGACGACTAGCTACGGTCAAAGATTTGACTGTTGATGGGCAGATCTTTAGTCGTAGATCTGGCCTTTTTCGACCAAGATCGGCATACTACCGGATAGATTCAGCCAATAGTGTGTCATTATACCATATTCCAACCAGCTTTCGCCAGTGGTGGCCAAAATCTGGTAAATGTGGGTTGTTGGGATGTTTTTGCAATTTCTAAAAGAAAAATTAGGGGTGTTTAGTTAAATTAATGAATTTAAGTGGGTTTAAAGAAATTAAATAATATAGAATAATATTTTGAGAATAAGTCAATTTTACTGTTTAACTTTATTGGAAAAACCAGAATAATATTAAAAAGAATATATCAAAAAAAAGGAGCCCAAATATTCCACGTTGCTGCGCTTTTAACTTGCTTAAATATTAAAGGCCGAACGACTTGTGCATACCCAAAGTTTGTCATAACGACAAGTTGATACCCAAAAGGTTTTGAAATGACAAATAGATACCGTCCGTCATGTTCTGTTAGTGATTTTTGTTTATTAATAGTGAAAAGACTAAAATGCCCTTAAAAGTTTGAATTTTAGTTTTTTATAAATTTAAAAATTTTAAAAAAACCCCCCAGGTTTACAAATTTAACTAAATACCCCAATATATAAAATTTTTGTAAAATAACAAAAACACCCCCGCCACCCACAGTGCCAGATTCCGGCCACCACCGTAGGAATCTGGCCGGAAAGTTGCGTTACGACATAGACCCGTCGGATCTGTGTCGTAACGTGCCGATCTTGCCTTTTCCGGCAAGATCTGCCACAGATCTGGCCGGAAAAGGCCAGATCTACGGCCAGATCTAGCCTTCGACGCCGCAGATGGAGTTTTGCGGTGTCGACGGCCAGATCTAGCCATAGATCTGGCCTTTTCCGGCCAGATCAGCCACGGATCTGGCCGGAAAAAGCCAGATCGAGGCGTTACGACACAGATCCGACGGGTCTGTGTCGTAATGCAACTTTCCGGCCAGATTCCGGCGGTGGTTGCCGGAATCTGGCAGTGCGGGTGGCGGGGATGTTTTTGTTATTTTATAAAAATTTTATATATTGGGTTATTTAGTTAAATTTGTAAACCTAAGGGTTTTTTAGATATTTTTAAATTTATAAAAAACTAAAATTCAAACTTTTAAGGGCATTTTAGTCTTTTCACTATTAATAAACAGAAATCATTAACACAACATGACGGAAGGTACCTATTTGTCGTTTCAAAACCTTTTAGATACCAACTTGTCGTTACGGTAAACCTTGGGTATGTGTAAGTCGTTCTCCCAATATTAAATTAAAAATTAGTGCATCTCTTTAATAACTGATTATAGACATTGGAAGACCCTTTTTGATTGGGTGTTTATTCAGTTTAATATTAATAATTAAAACAAGTTACTACATAAATTGTCCTCATATTTAATTTTACAATTAAGAGCGGTTTTAAACTCTATGATATTTTTTTTCAAAATGTATCTTTCTTAATTTTAGAAATGATTTTATAGAAAAAAAAAAAGTATTAAATTTTTTAATTAAGATCTTAAAATGAGTTTGATAAAGTATATCAAAATTTTAAATAGATTTATGAAAAAATGGTCAAGAATTTGATTGGAAAAATAGAAAACATATAATGTAAGAAAAAAAGTTTGTTGATGAAAGAGAGAAGATAATATTTAATCATGAAATTTAGCAATTAAAGTTAATAATAATCCCCTAAGGTATAGTTAAACAACAAAAAATCTCATGTGGTTGTAGATATAACAGAAATTGTCTTATCATAAAATTTCTGTGTTAAAAAAAAAAAAGTAAAGTGACAATCTAAGTAAATATTTATTAATCCATCATATTATTAATTTTAACAGTACACTAATGGTAGAAAAAATTTGCTATCTCTAAAATTTCATAGCGATTCTTTTATTTGATTAAACTTCGGGGTCGATTTAACTTAACGCTTAGAAATTATGAATCATATTAAATAAATCTTGGAAAAAATTTCTGAAATTATATTTAAAAAATTGAAAAAAAAAAAAATATCACATAGATCGCTCCCAATAATCTCCCTCTAGATTGATGTGATGATCTAGAGGTCACAACATGCAACTTCACAAATTAGTGCCATGAGATAGATGCCGTCGACAATCTCCCGTTGTTGTGATCTTTTAGTAAATTAAGAAAATAATTTATCCCAACATCATATTAACATGTCATTATTGCAATCACATTTCATAAATAAACTGTAATAAAATAATCATAACATAAATACCTATTTTTTGTTGACGTAATTTGAGTCACAAGCACATACCACTGTCTTCTTTAATTATTGTACAATAGTGAAAGAAGATAAAAATAACAGTTAAGAGAGTAAGAGAGTTTTTCTTGAATAAAACCTCTTTTACAAGGCCACCTATGGCAGTTTAGTGGTAATTGTCAAAGGCAGTTACCACAATATATTAAATGTAATTGGGTGGGTCTCATCATAGGTGTCTCACTCATATCTAATATCTCTCACTCACACATGATGAGATTATTTTTCTCTGTGCTTCTTCAAGAGTCATACTTTAGTAAATATGTCGTGTGACCATGCATACATCTATAGTATATTAGTCATATATCTGTTAGGAATATATAATTTCTTGAATTGTAAAACTTGGGTTGTATATTGTATGCAATACCATAGATTACTTATCACGTTTTCCTCTAACAATCTCATTTATAATAAACATATGTTGTATTCATAATTATGTTTTGTCTTTATATAAAAAACAAAACATAATTGGCCGACCAATGAATATACATGATTGTAGTGTGTTGATAAAAAATTGTAATCTTCCTCCTTTCTCGATTCTTACAACTTTTATTTAATTTGTTTTTCTAGAAATGTCTTAGCAAATTGAATTTATCTTAATCTTTTGGCAATATTCTAAGATAGCAATCATTAAATAAAGTTTTCAAGAAACAAAATAGAGTAATAAGGTACTCTATGAGATTTTATTTTTATAATCTCAGGGTCTCACACAATGTTAAGGTTGATATTTTGACTTTCATTATCCTCTTGGTCAATATTTGTACACATGTGGTAAGAATTACATTCTATGACATTTCCTCATTTCCCATGGAGTGCATGTCTCTTTTTTTCTTGTGAATGCCATATAAATTTTAGTTCAGACATACCTAATGTCTAACTTGAGTTCACTCTACATAATTTTAATTCATCAGAACTTTAATCTGACAATTAAACAGATAAAGTATTAAATTTTGATAATTTATCACTTACGGTCATACTTCATTATGACATTATTTTTATTCTATTTTAGGCGACGTTAAATATTTTAAGCCTAACTCTCTATTATCACCTACATAATGAGCTTAAAATTGTCTCATCTCCATCCCCACAAAGTAAGGGAGGTGATTGCCTATGTGAGAATGTCAATCTTTTAACTGTCCGACATACTTTTCAAAATAAATGTATATATATTTACATAACAAATAAATGAATTAGGCATTGACAATATTGTTATTTAATATTGATAAGATAAATGTGAATATTTTGGGAAATCTCAAAGTATGAGTACATTCAACATTTACATAAGCTTGGAGATCTAACATGTCTATTAAATGTATCTCTTGGTATAGGCTTTGTAAATAGATTCGCAACCATGTCATGCGCAGATATGTACTTCATGTTCACCTTTTTTTGTGTCACCAAATCTCGTACAAAATTATATTTGATATCTATGTGTTTTGTTTTACCATGATATTTGGGATCTTTAGTGTATGTTATTGCTGCTTGACTATCACATCTTACTCTTACTAGTTCAATAGCAACATTAGTTATTCCCAAATGATTCATGAATCGTCTCAACTAAACGGCTTTTTGCACCGCAGTTGAAAATGCTACAAACTCAGCCTCCATTGTAGATAAGGCTATAAATGATTATTTTTTAC